ACCTGAGCTCTTATTTCTCTAGGAAGACTGTCCTGGAGTTCTGAAAATTCAAATTATTTTGAAGTGCTGGGATACTGAGGAAGGACAAGGACACAGAAGACTCACAGCTCATGTTTTAACCTATGACTCTTTCATAGACTAGCAAGGTGCAGAGCAGTGACATAATGCGGTATTTTGTGACAATAAGTTCCCAAAGATGATGAAATCTCCCATCTTCCTCTGGGATCACTCGTGTAAACAAAAGATGCTCTGTGTTGTTGCCGAACTGTGATATTCAGAACATTAAATTCATTAAATGCATGCCAATCAATATTTTATATGGTGATGGGCTTATCAGGATTTAACCCTGTAGTGATTTGAAAAACTTCAAGTCATATTGGATTACATATTTTACAATGAATGGATTATATTTCTTACAGTTCCTAAGTGATTCTACCGCTTGTCTTGTAATATGTTTGACACCATCCCCACACCAGAATATTTCTAGTACATTTCATTTTTTTCCTATATTTTTCTTATAGTAATAAGTTTGTCACTTGGATAATATGCTTTCTTAGAAACATATTATTTTTAATTGTGCGGAGTGAAACTAAATTGACTTTTCAGAAAATGTATGTTGTTACTTTATAGTAATAAAGGAAAAGCATGATCTTGTAGAGTTTTGTTGATTTTATTAACTTTGTTCTTTGGAATTTTTATTCAAGTGCACCATGAATCCTGATTTTTCTTCTATCCTTCTTTTATCTCCCTCTCATCCATAACAACTCTTCTTCTACATACCTGATCTTTTCCCAGCTTCATAACTTCTTCTTTTGACTTCGCCAAAATCATCTGTGAGATTACTGAATTGTAAATATAAGGTAAGAGTACTTATACAAATACAGTAATGATTTGCCCTCTTTATATATCTTTAACCAGAAACAGTTCAGCATAAAGGATATGAATGAATATGTACCCCTGTATTCATGACTGATTATCAAGGCACCCAATCTTATGCAGATATGTTGAAGTATGTTCAGGTGCTGTGAGTTCCAGATTACAAGTGTTATATCTTTTCCAGAAGATAGTATTTCATAGATGATCTCACTGTCTTCCACCTCTTGCATTTTTGCACCCCATCTCCCACAATGTTTCATAAACCTTAGTTTTATGATTTATGTGTGAAAAATAAAACATACAAGTTATATGCAGAGTCTTTCAATTCCACATTTTATTTTTCTTGTGTTGTTTCCTATGTATATGGTCTACTGTACATGTATCATGTGTTTACAGGTTATAAGACCGCTTGTGAAAAGATGTTTAGAATGAAATAGTACTTAGTGAATCCTGAGAAATGTACATTATGATTTTTTTGGACTCAGGAGAAAGTAAGTTAATAACTGAGCTCACATAGGAACCGTACATAGCTATGTAAAAAACAAAGCAAGCCTGTCTCAAATCCATGTTAATATTCATCACAATAATCTCACATTTAACAAATGTGATTTTTGGTTTTATGATTTAGAAGATTCTGTGATTTATTCCTAAGTTTAATAAAAATGGAATATTTGAGTATGCAAACAAACACATGTAGAGAACAGAGCAATGGTGAGAGAGAATGAGAACGTGTGTATGACAGAGATTTTATATCTTTTAAAAATGAAACCACTTTTTATAATTTTGATTAGTTTTTATGATATATATTGACTGTATATATTGTTTTTATATGTGGTATAAAGTGTACAGTTTTAGTTACAGGTTTTATTATTGGTTCTTTAAAATAATTTATAGATATTTATAGATATTAAAACAACACAGCTCATGCAGTTTCAATGGTGAACTTAGCTCTTTTTTCTGAGAATATACGCATGACAATAAACTGACCATGGAACTATTTATCAGTACAGCAGTGACATGCTCACAAGGATTATAGAGAAGTCTGTGCAACCAATGGTCTGACTTTGCATTCAAATAGCCTATCTGAATATTTTTCTTATTTTTAAAGCCTATGTTTTGTATAGTATGCCTTTTAGGTGATACTGGGTGTATCATTTATTTAGGAGAAAGCACATTTTCAAGTAACTCAATTAAATGCTGATGTTCTGAAATCAGAGCCTATGTCCAAATTAATAGCTTGAATCCAGTAATTTGAAGATTCACATTTATTTTCCAAACATATTTTATAAAAATAAGCAATGAACTCTGGATAGTCAGTTTGGGAATAGTTGAAAAGTATTATCTGTGATATAAAATTTTGTATATAATTGGCTGTCGTAAGCTCATAGGGAATGTCACTATTAGACTTTGTTGGGATAGGTATGGGTTTGTTGGAGGAAGTACATTACTGCAGAGGTCAATGTTGAGGTCTCATACATGCCTAAGCCAGTGTTATAGTCAACTTCTTGTTTCCTTACAATGAACATATAGCCAGTACCATGTGTACCTGCTTGTTGCCATGCTTTTGACCATGATGAAATGGACTGAACCTCAGAATTGTAAGCCACCACCTTAACTAATGTTTTCCTTTGTGTTACTGTAGTCATGCTTTTTCTTTATAGTAATGAAACCATTACTAAGACACTGAGTATAATTAAAATTCTTATAATATATGGTAAATATTAAAGATACAGGTAATGAAGGGAAAAGTAGTTTTTTAAGTGATGTCTTAAGAATAAAAATATTACTACTTTAGACACACAAATACTTCTTTAGATAGTTATATAAACTATCAAAATCAGCCAATGAAATTGGCATTATCTTGTTTTTTTGTTATTATATGTACTTATAGGTACTAAACTTGAGTAAAAATATATAAAAAATACTTATATATATTTTATATATAAAAATTACATGCCTTGAAGTAAATTTTGCTAAAAGGAAAGAGCTATAGAAAAGAAATTTGTGCTAATTAAATTTCAGATGCACATTTTTGTTTATATAATGAAAAATGTGTATTTTAAATTGCATGAAAGTATCATTTTATGCTATATAAAAATGATATGGTCTCTTACAGTGTTTTAAGGCTGAAAAGGCAGGGTAAAATTTAAAGATTAATAATGATATAAAATGTTTTCCTTCAATTTTTTACTAAAGTTTTCTGTTAATAAGATCAGACAGATTTTTTTTTAAATGTAGGAATCTTTGATCAAGGGTGGAAACTCTCACATTTACAAACAATATTCTTTGCCATATTTCAAATTGTACTCTATTTGGTTTTCATTTTCCTGATGGCTAAGGATACTTATCATGTCTTTGTGTATTTCTCTGTCATTTGAGATTCTTCTGTTTACCAAAACCTGGAAACAATACAATTTCCCATCATCTGAAGAATAGAAAAAGAATATCGGTACTTTTACACAACGAGAAATCACCTCGTTTTAAAGGCAATGGCATCAAGCGGTTTGAAGACAAATAGATGTGGCACGAAAAAAATCACCCTTGTGAGGTAACTAAGACCCAGAAAAACAAATAGGTATGTAGTCACTCATAGTGAATGCTAACTGTAAATGATAACCACACTGCAAACAAAGACCCAGAGAGGATTGGTAATAACAAATTCCCACCAAAGGAAGTTAGGATTCATGGATCTCCCAGGTAAAGCAAAATAGAGATCTTCTGTTGGAATGGGGACAGGTGGACATGGGAACTTGAGGGATCAACTTGGAGGTGGGATGGGCAGGACAATGATGAAAAAATAATGGAAAAGATGTCTTTATGAAGAAGCCTGATGCAAAGGAAACTTCTACAAGCATGACTCCAGCTAAGGTCTTTTGGTAGCCGTGGATGCATAGCCTGAATGGATGATTCCCTGTGATCAGATTGGTGACTACCCTTGTTGTCAGCAATGAGTCTTCTTTCATTGATGGAGGTGGATTTAGAAACCCATGGCCTACATTGGGCCAAGCTTGTGGAGTCCTGCTGAAGAGAGAGAAGACAGATTATAGGAACACACCAACGTGCTGACTACATTCATGTAAAACCTGAGAAAGCTTGGGAAGAAATTCTAGACACAAAACAACAATGTTTAGCCATATTCTTTTCAGTTGATGGTGAACCACAGCTTCCATAAAATAGGTTTTCCTGATTCAGAGGTAGCAGAAAAAAAAGTATGGTCTCAAAATGACAGCATCTTGGTTTGCCAGTGCAAAAGGCTTAAACTTAAATTAAGTCATTTCTATTGTTTTATATTTTATCATGAGATATGTCAAGGTTTCAGGTCATCTGTTTTCTGCAGCAAGATGACAACACATGGCATCTCTCTGACTCTGCTTACTTTATTCTAGCATTCAGCTTAGTTATCATTCCTGGCTCTATTCTACACTGCAATAGGTCCCAAACAGATTCTTCCTTAAACAATGGTAGTCATTGCATACAGAGGAAATGCCACATCATCTCTCCTTTTCTGTCTAAACAAAAAATGAAAGTTTTAACTTTAACATAGCAACATTACATACAACAAAACCATTATCAAGCAAGAATTACAGTTACAATATTTATATCTATTTTATCTTTTATTATAATTAAGGAAAACTATAATTATAAATATTTATTTTTCAACTCCATCAAACACTTCAGAAGGATATAATATTACCTAAGTTAACAGGAAGTGCATTGTAAGCAACTTCCAAAACTATTGAATTGACAGAGACATCTTGCTGCCTGACCAGTCAATCAAAGTTCTTCTTTAAAATTGGGGCACCGATCTTCAACCTATAGGTCTATAGTATCTGGCAGACATTCCCATGAAGCAGGAAATTTGAAGATCTCTTATACCTTCCTTGTACTGGTAAAGTTCATCATTTGCTTTCTTCTGTGTACTGCAAAATGTCTGACAGTTCTCTCATGACTGCAAACAACCATCTCACCTTTTTTTGTCAAGTGCAGCAATCATTTCTCTGTGGGTCATGCATGTCCAGTTCATCAATCAGTCCAGACAAGAGCACTTTCTTGCCCAAATGACTAGTAAACTCCATAAGGAGCTTCGTCGATGCCCATCTTCCTCTGAAAGTAATCGCTGCTTCCAGGAGCAGATGTGTCTTATTTGTCATGAAAAGTCTTAAGTTCTTAAAACATTTTAAATAACACATTATGTTAGTCTGTGAAAGATTTGAAGAATATCTATCCATCTGAAATATATTTTTGTACATCTAGAAAACCTAACAAACATGACTACAAACTTGACTATTATAGATGACTATCTATTAATCTGTATTTTAACTATACATTACATTTTTAATGATCTGCACAAGTGCAATACCATAATCAAAAGCATAAATATACATATAACAAAATTAGCCTTAAATCGTATCAATAATCAAAGATCCATACCAGTACAAAGTATTCATTCATCTCTGTAGTATGTCTCCCTTTAAATGAAAACAAACATTTATAAAAAATCATTTTGGGAATTTGGGTATAGTTTTCTCCAAAACACTTCCTGCTGCTTGTTGGGTGAAGTATATTTAGGGTTCATTGGGAAATTTGCGGGAGTCTTGTTCCATTAAATCACAGTAGCCTGGAAGGAATCCACAGGTTCTCATCTTCTGTGGAAACAAAAACAATACCTCTTTTCCAAAGCAGTATATCCTTAGACCCAAATTTTGAAGTCAAGATACCTTTATATCGATTTAATTAGCAGCAGTACAATGAAATGTCTCTCAGTACTTAGTTCATATACAGTCAAAAAATAAAAAACAAATAATATACATAATCCAGACACTCTGTGTATATTCCATCTTTATGTAGCTTATTTTTATTTCCTCTTTTAATCTTTGACTATCTGTACTATGTCTTTTTAAAGACTTTATTTTTTTAAATTATTTACTTCCTTTTATAATTCTCTATCCTCTTCTTCTTTCTCTCAAGCCAATGTACATTTTTTAAACACACAGTGTCTCATTTAGAGGTCTTTTAAGTCTTGATCTGTCCTATTGTATATCTGTAGTAATTTTCTATGCAGGGGCGCTTCTTAAAATGCTAAGTGGTGTGGCGATGACTAAGGCTGCTTTGTTTTTTGCCTCTGCCCAGTCCTTCATAGCAGAGGTCTGTTCAGTGCCAGCTCAGGGAGTCATACTCACAGTCCTGTTTCCAGGCATGCAGTGGGTCTATGTTACCATTAATAAGTTCTAGTACTCTGCTCAAAAACCCCATTCAAATCATCGGTCTTGTGAAAGAGTAAGAGTTGTTCATGCAAATAGCACAGAACAGAGAGCTGCCATTTTGAAATGGTGTGAATTTTTGCTACTAATGCTGAATCAGGAAGACCTCTCTTAAATGAGTTGAGGTGCCACTGTTTGCTGCCATCAAACAGAGCCTATCTGAAAAAAATGCAGCTACTAAGAGCTTGACTTTCATTTTTGTGTGTCTGGAAGTACTCTTTTTAAGGGATTTTTGTTTTGTTTTGTTTTATGTCCATCCATACCCCAGATGGTGAGTGCCAATCTGTTGGCAGAGGTTGCTCATTAGTTTCCCAACCATCCAGAGCAGTACTGACAGGTGGGCATCTTTCTCCTCCGGCTGCAACATGACTTCTCTCTGACTCTGCCTACTCTTTCCTCCTCTTATCTGCTCAAAATTTCTACCCTGCCCTGTTCTGCACTACAATAGGCCCAAAGCAGCTTTTTTATTTACCAATGGCATATAGAAGGGAATCTCACATCAGGTCGGGGTGGGGTGGGTTATGGTTCTGATGTTTAGCTGCTTTGATGTACTACTAACACATATTACATGCTTGGCCTCTGGGCAACCCCATGGTGCTTCTTGGGGCTTCTCAAACCATGTCATTAAAATTAGCCACAAGCACTGATCCTGAGCTCTCCCCTATGGCAGAAAAGAGAAACCAGGAGAACTGACATTTGGACCATGAGAGTGGAAGAGCTTGCCATGCTCCTTACTGGATGCAGCACTCAGGAGAGCAGGCCCTGTAGTGTGGTGTAATGACAAGGGCAAGATGCCCTTCTCTCTTGTCCCTTGTTCCTGTGGCAGGTGAGATAGTTCTCCCTGACACTCACCAGCTGCAACACTCAACAAAGTGTGCCATGAACCTTACCTAGGCTTCAAAGTAGATTGAACCCTGCAGACAGGTGTGAGGATAAGTTACCCTGAAAACATGAGGGTAAGAGAACTGGACCTTCCCCTCATCTGTCCTATGATGACATCGGCAAGGGAGACAAGATCCCCTACCACCAGTCCTTGCCACCAATCACAAGAGTGAGAGAGATGGCCCTGCCTCTCCCCACTGCAGCTCTCAGGAAAATGGCCTCTGCATCTTACCTGGGCAATACCATAGAGTTGGCCCTGGTGGTAAATGTGTGGGTGAGCTTGCTTTGCTGTAATCACATGAGAGCAGAGGAGCCAGTCCCACACCTTGTTATTTACTACATATAGTGATCTAGCCAGGGCAAAGTTGGAAAATTCATCATGGTAATGAGAATGAGGGAGAGCAAGCAGACCCAAAACCAGGGCTTTGAGTTGCCCATCCCAACATCCACATCATCTATGATTTGCGGGAGCACGTGAAAGGGTACATCCTGGAGACCAAAAGCTTCAGGATTTCTAGGATTTAGGAAAGCAATAATACATTCAAGAGGAATCCTAGTGAAGGCCAAGAATTGATAGTATAGTACTAAACCAATGACTCATTGCAGTGTACACTTGCAAGATGATTGGACTAAAGGGAAAACTATGTGACTCACTGTGTCACACTCCAGATTCCACAAAGAAGTTTTATGGGTATTTTTTTGCTTTTTTTCTTTCTTTTATATTTTATTTTGTTTTATCTTAGGAGGTTTGCCAGGTCAGAGGGCAGTTCCTAAGGGAGAGAGAAATGAGTGGTAAGGATATGCATGATTTGAAATGCACAAAGATTATTAATCACAAAAAGTTAATTTAGGGAAAAGTTAGACACTCACACAATTACTGTCCTTTATTATTTTCCTTACATGGCATTTGCAATATTCAAATTTTTTGGATACTACTTTTTTGGGTATTACTTTTATTTAGAAAATATAGGCAATATAAAGAAAGAATTTTTCAACTTATTTGCTCTTACATCTAAACTTTCTTAATGTTCCTGGCCATATATTAGACTCATAGAATTATTTACAGAATGAGAAAGTTACCTTATCAAAAAAGCCTGTATAGGTACATATTAATTAATTAATTATCAATTTGAAATGAGCAAATTATTGTGATTACTTCCAAATTATGTATTTATAATGGAAAAGTGAGAGTAACATTGTCTATTGCTACTTCTTTGACCACTGTATGTTTAGTAAAATGAAAATAATAGTAATATTATGATAAAATTAGGAAATGACTGAAAATAGAACCAAAGAGTTATCAGAGATTAAGATCAAATAATACTCTTATTCTATTTTTTAAATTTACGTATGGAAAATTGAGTAGTACTTATTGGCAATTCCTTTTGATTATATAATTCTGATAGCTTTTATCTCAAGTTGACTCATATTTCATGCGTTTGAAAACAAAACACGATGTCTAAATGTGGGTTCTGATTTGGAGGTTTTGACACTTTGAGAGGTGTCATTGGAGGAAGTGACAGTTTTGAAGGCAAATTTTGGAAGTTATAACCCCATTTTTGGCTTCATTCATCTCTCTACTTACAGGTGATAGATGAAGAATAAGCCACAATCCAATGCTTTCCTGACAGAGTCATGAGCATGGCTTACCAACATACCTACAAAGTCATAATGCATTGTTTCTACTGGAAAATGAAGGCCTAAGCTTTCTTTCATCAAGTTCTTCTTCAGGTGTGTTGTCACCTTGATAAGGAAAATAATACAGGGAATGTGTACTGAGAAATTTGTTCATAGCTATAATAAATGGGTCCTGCAGTTCATAGAGACTTGAATCTATGGAAGGGTATTGAAACACATAGACATGTGACCTAGAAATGTCCAGAGCCATATCATAGGAGATTGATTGGCATCCTGGTGTAAGTGCAGAGGATCAGCCAGTAAACAGAAAAGTAGTCAATTGCATCCATATTATTCAAATTGTAGAAGGGAATTAGCTTAAAGCGTTCATATTCTATCTTTATAAAACATACCTAGCTATATGTTACCTAGTTTAAAATTTGAGTGAGATTGAATTCAAAACTGAAGAACTACTTTGTTTAGTAGAGTACATTTTAAACAGAACAGGAATTAGGTTGTGTCATAGTTACTTCTCACTGTTTAGTTGGATTTATGATAGTAAAGAAAAAAATGAAGCAGAGATATGAGAAAATGTGTGATTTCATCATGAAAAGGGAAAGGCTGAATTTAAAGATGGTCAAACAGTGACTGTGAATAAAGTAAATGTGGACAAAGCAGTGGAACCTTGGAGAACAGCGTACTTAGTACTGGGGAGTGGTCAAGATCCTGGACAAACCTCCATCTATCAAAGACTTCATCTGTAAAACTGCAAATTCAAAATAGAAGAGAGTTACTGGAAAATAGTGCTTGAAAAGATGGTAGCATATATAGATTGCCCTCCTGCAGTAAAACTGCCTAAGAAAAATAGTTCCAAAGTTATCTGTCCAGGTCCTTTAGAGTGACAGAGTCAGGTTCCAAGAGAGAAAAAGAAAACCACAAGTCATGTGTCTTTAGAATGCTGGTGGGGGTTAAAAGAGGCCTAGCACCGCAAGTCTTGGGTACTTTTATTTTTCCCTTCCAAAAGTTATATAATTATATTTTTTAACTGTAATATATCTAATAGTAGGTAGGACTCTCTAAGCAATGTGCCTTTTTCTACATTCTTCAATTAGCTTATAATTTTAAAACCTCAAGGAACACTGAATTCTTAACATTAAAAGCAAATGCAAATTTTTTTGTAATGCCAATGTTTTTAAAATTAAGAGGTACCAATTCAATCACTGTTTGGGGTCCCAGGAACCATGAAAATACCATCACTGTACAATCTTAACCTATATTCATTGCAATTTCAGCAGCAAATTATGTTTAAATTTAACGAAGTCTGTGGAGTCTCTAGAATATGTACTTTGCATTTGCCATGCCTTCTCTCAACACGAGTTCATTAATTTACTAGCTATCCAAACAAATTACAGAAACCTAAGTCTATTCCCAGTGCAAACATCCACAGCACAAACTTCACATTAGGTTATTTGTAACTGAAAGCCTGGAAATTAGTGACAAATAATAATACAGATGGCAAACCTAGGAAGCTGGCTCATACGCCATTTGTTACACTTCTTGCCATGAATTATCATGCAAGGAAAATGACAGAAAGTTTAAATCTGTAGGAAAGCTCCTATAATGACTTCTCCCAAGACAGCTGAATGGAATACTTTGAAAATATTCAGAGAGCAATCAAACTTTCACAGAATGATTAGCATCTTCCCACCTGTCTTGCTATTTTTATCTCTCATTTTTCTTACCTTTTATTTTCTTTTTGATAGATTTTTAATACCCATCTTCTGAGAAACAGTAGGGACTGAAACTTGTTATTGACAATTAAGCAACTCTGACATCAACTTGTAGTCTATGCATTATTATGCTGTGAAAGTCTAACAAAGAAGCAAGTGGATTGATCAGTTACTATAGTAATCATATTCATGGGATTATAAAACTAATAAATTTAGTCATGGCAGGAAAAATATTGGTTCAGAGGCATGCAAGTAAGTGCAAACATTTGTAGTCATGTGATACATCTTTGTCCAGTAATCATAAGGATTGCTGAATTAAGAAATGGTGGAATCAATAGAACAGAAAAATACCTTTTATTACTTCTAAATATACTTTCTTCATCTGGCTTCTTTTTTGAAGCTCTATACATTAAGCTCCAAAGCACATGTGGCTTACTATTTACTTCATATGTTTTTGCATAATTTTATTTGATTTGCTCTTTAAAAGAGTACATTTTATTCTGAAGGTAATTTTGTACATCACACCCTCTATAAAACATATGTATTAATTATTATTGTTGCCTTTATGTTGGTATGGGCATGCATGCCATAATGAACATTATATGGTTTCTGGGATCAAATTCATATCATCAGTCTTAGCAGGTACATTTACTAGTAGAGAAATCTTGCAAGTACTCATATTTTATTTACTAGTTTAATCTGAATTTTAATAGTCTCACTCAATAATATTAATTAACTAGGTACATTTTCAGTTTGAGTAAGGTAAACATTACTAAAAATTTTATTTCCTTTCTTTTGGTTTGCCTTTATTTTTCTTCCTTTGTTTTCCTTTTCTCTCTGACCTTATCACCACCTATTACCACTCCCATCTTCTTTACCTACTCCTTGAATACTTTTTCCTTCCTTCTTTCTTTCCTTTCTCCCTCCCTCCCTTCCTTCCTCTATCCCATTCATCTCCTCTCTTTCTTTTCCTCTTTCATTCATTCCTCCATCTCTTTTTGTCCTCTGCTTCTCCTATTCCCTTTACCCCTTTTCTTCATTCTTCCTGTTTTTCTTCTTTCATTCATCTCCTTTCCTTTCTTCTCCTCTCTTATGTTTGTCTTTCTTTCCTCATTCCATCCTTCCTCTTGGTTTCCTTAATACTCTATTTCTTTCTGTCTTTTTTCTTGTTTTTGGCAGTGGAGTTGTGCATGTGTTAATTTGTCTGTGTATAATAGTGATTAAGTCTAGGCCTTGAGCATAGTATACAGGTTCTATCTCAATCATTAAACATTTTCTCCAGCCTGTAATACTTGATATATTTTTCTATCTTAAGTAATAGTTAATTCTGCATTTCAGTCAGGCACAGAATCACTATCTAATCTCATCCTAGACTCAAACTGAGGGCATTCCTCTAGTTTCAACTTTCCAGAGTATTATAATTATTGCCAAGAACCACAAGTCTCAGGTTACAGATACTTTGACAGACTCCTGATCATGTTTCCTTCTTCTAGAAAAGGCTGTAAATCCTCCAGGCCTCAGCTGACCAGCTTTGATACATTTAATTGTAGTTCCAAGCATGCAGTAAGTATGAAGATGACAAAACTACATATATTTAAGGAATGACAAGTTGATTGCTTTAACTGGAGAATTTATGTAAATAAAATGGGAACATAATCAATAAGAGTGTAATGTGCTGGGTTAATGTTATTAGATTTTGAAGTTAAAGAGTACAATATACTTGGTTTGAAAAAAATCTAATAAATTTTAGTAGAGAACTGTCCTTATAATAATCTCTTTGTGAGATTTTGTTTAAAAGTCTTAGAAATACAGTGACAGATCAAATAGAACATTAAATTGATAAAGTTTTTAATTTAAATTATTCTTTATATTTGCACCTAAACTAGAAAAACATTTGAGAATGAATCAGTATTGGAAACAGAGAATTCAATTGTGGTTTGTGTCCATATCCTGAAAATGGAAGATCATCTGCATGGGGATGGATGGAATACAAAATTCAAAGTGATTAGAGAAAAAACTGAAGGGAATGATAATGTTTTTAGGACTTTGTTCCAGAAGGGACAAATGGGTAATTTGTCATATGCTTAATAAAATTCACAGTTTGTTGTTTTTGATGTAGTTGTTTTGAAAGACAGAAGTTTGGTAAGTAAATAACAATTTTATCTTCTTATTGGTCCTCATGAGGCCTGGGCATTAAGCCCAATTTTGTTTCCTGGGCCTAGCTTGAGTTTGGTGAGGCCTGGTGTGGCTTCCTTGCCCTGGCTTGAGTTTGGAGACCAGTCTCTGGCTACCCAACCTGGGTCAGCGTCTGTCCAGACTGACATGGCAGAATGTTGTTGGCCATTGTCCTTGCTTTGCCTTGGCCCATCCTAGGCTTCTGCACCCCATCACAAACCTATAAAAGTCCCTGCTTGATACCATATATTGAGTTCCTGCTTTGACAGACTCCCGACTCAGTGGGTGTGTGATGCCGCAGGGCAATTGGTAATGAAAAATCCCCAGACTATCTTAATACAAAATATATAGCTTTAATAAACAGAAGTAAGACTTACAACAGCTTACACCAGAATTCAAACGATCCGTCCAGGCTCAGGAGCCAGGCAAAAGAGAGCTAGTGGAGCGTGCTTGCTAGGTTTATAGGCAGGCTTTAGCCTGAGGGTGGCACGCCCCCAAAACAGAATGTGATTGACTGAACTCCCCTATCAGGTGTGATTCTCCTTGTGCCTAGGGGGCTATGTCACCATCCCATTCAGCCCCATGTAGAGTCTGGTGGGCTTGGCTCTGCCCCTGCTCTACCTGCCAGAGAAGCAGGCAGATTTATGCCCCGTTTGAGGATGCCCTTTCCTCCAGAGAACCCAGCATCTTCTGAATATTGCAGGGATTGAAACCAAGGTATAGTGTAAAGGAAGGAGAACATCAAAGTTCAGTAGATTTCTCAGTTGTCTATCTATGGACAACTATATCCAAAATATAGAAAACTTAATGTAAATTTAAAGAGAAGTTAAAATCAAAGTGGTAGTCAAACTAACACTTTTATATCACATAGGGGAAGAAAACAAACGCCAGAGATCTAAAAAATGCTAAATAAATAAATAGAGATTACCAGTAACATAAAAACGCATCCCCAGATTGTTCTCTGGACAGAGGAGAGGGTGCCTGAACCAGCCTTGGCCCATAACCATACTGATGAATATTTTGTATATCACCATAGAACCTTCATCTGGCGATGGATGGAGATAGAGACAGAGACCCACACTGGAGCACTGGACTGAGCCCCCAAGGTCTAAATGAGGAGCAGAAGGAGGAAGAACATGAAAAAGGAAATCATGACCGCAAGGGGTGCCTTCACCCACTGATACAAGGGGACTGATCTAATGAGAGTTCACCAAGGGCAGTTGGACAGGGACTGAACGAGCATGTGATCCAACCAGATTCTCTGAATGTGGCCGGATTCTCTGAATGTGGCTGGCACGGGGTCTTTCTGAAAAGCCATTGACAATGACATTGGGACTTGCTTCCTTTGCATATACTGGATTTTTGGGATCCAGTCTGTTTGGGTGCTCACCTTCCTGAACCTGGAGGGATGGGGAGGAACTTGAATTTCCTACAAGGCAGGAAACCCTGACTGCTCTTAGGGATGAAGAGGGAGGAGGAGAGGGAGTGGGGGGAGTGGGAGGGTGTTGGGAAGAGGGGCGGAAATGGAAACTTTTATAAATTAATAAACTTTTATAAATTAAAAAAAGCATCATATATAATTCACTCTTTGTAGAAACTACAACCCCTAAACATGAGATAATAGTGCTGCACAATTAACTAAATGAAAATATTCAATACTCAAGTTTCTTCTTGAATAAAGAAAATAAAAGTGCTGGGATGAAAACAATTAACAAAAAGTTGCTAATATCAGAACTGTAACAAGATGCATACCAAATACAGAGTCATATACTTAAAGTGATGTCAGTCAACATCTTTGTTAAAATCATTGTTGGGTTTCTCAGGCAGGAAATACAGATGGAAATGGGCTATGCTTTGATTGAATTAGAGATCAAATTATGGTAATTGGCATATATATGTGTGTTGTGCATTCCTTATATTCTTGGAAAATGTGTGCTCTAATTAAAACTATTGACATTCAGTTTTCATAATCACAGATAAGATAAATTGAGTTCATATAGTGTGCTGGAAATGATACTATGATGAACATGCTAAGTAAACCTATTATTTCTTCATATATTTTATTATTTTATTTTGTTAAATTTTGTTTTTTTATAATTTATATATATTTATTTTAATTAAGATTATGATCCTCCTTGCCGTTCTTCCCTTGTATCCTCTTCTATACATCACTAGCTCTTGTATGCAAATCACTAAATCAGGAAGAAGCATTTTAATTTCACTCTGGTACAAGAACAAACATTGCCAAATAGATAGCCCTTATTTTTAATTTTAAGAATTATTTACCTTATTTAATATGTATGAGTGGGGAATCCGATGAATATTTGTGTGCTGCATGCATTCCTTGGGTGTGATAGGACAGAGACAGTGTAGGACCCATTGAAACTGGATTTAGGGATGATTGTGACCTGTCATCTTGCTGCTGGGCTTCATATTCAGAGTCATTTAAACAATAAGTGCTCTTAACTGCTCAGTCATTAGTCCAGTCTTGTTTTAATTATTTCTTTAATTTTATGTATTTTGCAGTGATTCCTTACGTCTCAGTACTGGTCTCATGTGTGTCATATTTTCTCCTCCATAGGTTTGTTTAAAGTTAAGTGTGGTATCCCTAGTAGGTAAGTATGCCATGACCTTATCATATTTTTGTGGGAGACACATACATTCTTCATGTGTTTTGAAGAATACAAGTAGTGTATTTCTGGAAAATCAGCTAATACTTATATTCAAATATTTAAGAGGAAGAATTCACAGCAAATGAGATGACAGCTGACCAGCTGTGACACATTTTATTGTAGTTCCAAGCATGCAGTAAGTATGAAGATGACAAAACTACATATATTTAAGGAATGACAAGTTGATTGCTTTAGCTGGAGAATTTATGTAAATAAAGTGGGAACATAATCAATAAGAGTGTAATGTGCTGGGTTACTGTTATTAGATTTTAAAGTTAGAGAGTACAATGTACTTGATTTGAAAAAAAATCTAAAAAATTTTAGTAGAGAACTGTCTTTATAATAAAAGATACATTTGGCAGATGTTAATCTAAAAAAGGTTAGTATAAATAGTCACAATATTCAATTTTCAGAATGACTGAACTATATAGTTCTAAGAATTTAATGGGTAGTTACATTATATTCCATAGCTTAATATTTCTGGCATAAATGGAAGAAAAGCTATGGACGAGTATGGAAATTACATTACTAAACAAAAACTATTCTTAGATATATTTCTTGATTCCTTATTTTCATAGTGATTATTTTCTCAGGAGTCTTTATAGACACAAAACAACATAATTTGCACGCACACACACCTGTGTGTATGTGTGTGTGTTAAAAGCAGTTTAATTAGGTTAGCATAAAAAATATGATATTCTGGGAATCCAATAATGAATGTATCACTTTGGAATGCTTGAGAATCCTGTAGTTTCTACATCCACAAGACTGGATGACTCAGCTTGTCTCTAAACTGGTACAGTACACTGCGAAGATTCATGGCGAGCTTCCAGTTTCCAGTCTACATTGGAAGTTAGAAGAGAATGGTTCCAATATTATCTAAGGAATATCACTGAAAATGACAGGTGAGCTTCTGAGAGAAAGTGAAAACAAACA